ACTAAATGTCTATTTGTGGGGTATCCCTAGGTTCTAAGGGATACTACTTTTACTCCAAGAATGAACACAAGGTGTTTGTGTCCAGGAATGCTGAGTTCCTTGAGAAGGATCTGATCTCTCAAGGAGTTAGTGTGAGTAAGATTGATCTTGAAGAAGTACAAGAACCACAAGAACATATTGAGGAACCCGAGTCTGCTCCGCAGGCGACGTTCTCCAATGGAGAAGTAAACACAACTCCGTAGATGTACGAGGGTCATCCATCCACCTGAGAGGTATGGGTTTGTGATTGAGAATTAGCAAACCGTCGAGGGTGATGAACCAAGTAACTACGAAGAGGAAGTCAAGGATGTTGACTCTTCTAGATGGCTTGAAGCCATGAAATCTGAAATGGATTCGATGTATCAAAACAAGGTATGGACCTTGGTTCCTAAATCGCAAGGAATAGTTCCTATCGGTAACAAATGAGTCTTTAAAAGAAAGACTGATGCAGATGGCAACATTCAGACCTACAAAGCTAGGTTGGTGGCGAAAGGGTATCGTCAAAGACAAGGAGTTGAATATGATGAGACTTTCTCACCGGTTGCCATGACCAAATCTATTAGGATCATGCTTGCAATAGTAGCAGGCATCAAGGAGTTGGAATATTCGTTTTGATGAAATCGTTAAGAGTAACAGTTTTATCAAGAACTAGGATGAACCTTGTGTTTACAAGAAGGTTAGTGGGAGTAATGTCTTCTTCCTGGTACTTTATGTAGATGACATATTGTTAATAGGAAATGACATCCCCACATTACAAATAATGAAAGAGTGGCTTTCAAAAAGCTTCACCATGAAGGATTTGGGAGAAGCGGTCTTTATACTTGGTATAAAGATCTATAGAGATAGATCCAAGAGGCTGCTGGGTTTATCTCAATCCATGTATGTTGACAAGATGCTAAAGAGGTTTAGCATGGAAGGGTCGAAAAGGGGTTTTCTTCCCTTCAGTCATGGGGTACATCTTTCTAAGGCTATGTGTCCTAAGTCACAGCCTGAGAAAGAGCGCATGAGTGGAATTCCATACGCTTTGGCTATTGGATCCATCATGTATGCCATGATATGTACGAGACCAGATGTCTCATATGCTTTAAGCATTACGAGCAGATACCAGTCTGACCCTGGAGAGGGTCACTGGACAGCAGTCAAGACCATCCATAAGTACTTAAGAAGAACTAAGGATGTGTTTCTGGTCTATGGTGGGGTTGATGAGCTTTCAGTGAAAGGGTTCACTGATGCCAACTTTCAGAGTGACAAAGATGACTGTAAGTCACAATCAGTGTTCGTGTTCACCTTAAATGGTGGGGCAGTATCTTGGAAGAGTTCCAAGCAGGAGACAACAGCAGATTCAACGACAGAAGCTGAATACATAGCTGCTTCAGAAGCGGCTAAGGAGGCCGTGTGGATCAAGAAGTTCATATCTGAACTAAGGGTGGTTCCAAGCGTAGATGAGCCCATACAGTAGCTTTACGAAAGCACTGGAGCCATTGCGCAGTCAAAGGAACTTAGGTCTCATCAAAGATCTAAACACGTGTTCCGCAGATATCACCTGATTAGAGTAATCATTGATAGGATGGATGTAAAGATGGATTATGTTCCCACAGATGATAACCTAGCCGATTCTCTGACAAAGGCTGTTTCTCAGAGAAAACATGATAGTCATTGTGAGACTTTAGGTATACGATTTAAGTCAGATTGGCTCTAGGCCAAGTGGGAGCTTGTTAGTATATGGATGTCCTAGAGACAATCTTTTGATTAGATTAGGACATATATGGACCTTTTATATTGTCACAAATAAATAAAAGCACTTTTTATCCTGTTTCATGTTTTGTCTCAATATTATTGTTAATATATTATATGAGTAAGTGGATAAACCCCTTGAAATAAAATATGTATCGATTAAGTATCTGTGATGAGATCACGATCATGAGGATTTAAGGATACCGGATGTTTATTCCTAATTTTATTTTCCTAGTCTAGAGACACTGAGAATGGGGATCAGTAGTCTCGGATAAGACTAGCACGAATTTTCTACTTGTATTCGGATGCAAGGTAAAGACCTCATGAGCAACAGAAATGGAGATGTCTTAGCTAAAGTCGTGGGTGGACCTATAAGGGTATAGCTCGCACTGAACAGAACCACAAAGAGACTCTATGAGGAAATCTCACAGAGAGTATCATTAGAGTAGTCTCTTATATTTGGGTATGTCTTTCCTTAGACCAGAAGTTATTATCTAGACTGTGTTCTAGAAGGCACGCTTTGACTATATACCTCCTCTGCCTGAAACATGGAGATAAGCTGAAGGGATTCGTCAAATCTCTGTGAGAGATTAGGTTATCTGTAAACCGGAGAAATCAGAATGACATTTACAGGGACTCGGGAATCTATGCATAGTAAAAGAGATCATGAGATGATCTGTCTTTAGAGTCAGTAAATTGAAGATTCCCTATTTCGAATAAAGCTTACCCTAAACCGCAAGGGTTGATACATTTCCTTACCCTAGGTTTAATGGGAAGGTAACCGAGACGAAAAGAAATACATACGGCAACCAAATATGGGTAATAGGATGATCAAGTCATTAATCTAACTAGCTCTGGGGCAACAAAGCATTGCTAGTGCTCTGTGTTGTCATTAAATGGGTTGTGGGCTTGTTGGGCCCGAGCCCATTTATGTCAGTGGCTATGTTGGACCTAATGGGTCACACACTAACACCTTAATGTCATCATGATATAGCATTAAAGGTATTGAGCCTAATAATGGTTGTTAGCCCAAGATGAAGTTTGGAAGCCCACCTAAGAGGGAGAGAGCGCATGGTATTGTTAATGGGCTTGGATGGTCCAAGACATTACTAATTAATTTAATTAGTTAAATTAATTATCAAATATTTAAATTTTGAATTTTGAATTTGAATTTTGAAATTTGAATTTTGAATTTGAATTTTGAATTTGAATTTTGAAATTTGAATTTGAAATTTGAATTTTGAATTTGAATTTTAAATTTTGAAATTTGAATTTTGAATTTTAAATTTTGAAATTTGAATTTGAAATTTGAATTTGAAATTGAAATTTGAATTTGAATTTAGAAGTTAAATGTTTGAACGTTTGAATTTAAATGTTTGAATTCGAATTTGAATTGACTATGAAAAGTTGTTTCATAACAAAAGGATAAGATGAGATCTTGTTGGAACAAATCCCTTGTATAAGAGAAGATCTATGGAGATCTCCAAGGGCTGATTTGGGGCGCCATTTTGGTGGGAGATGATTGTCATCTTGTCAAACCAACAAGCTCCAATCAGATTTCGTTGTTGAGAGAATCAGTGAGCTAGTTGGTTCAAACTTGAATGCAACAGCTCAAATGTATCTGGACCCTTTTTGGGCTGAATAGGGGCGCATGAATTGGTGGTCATATGATGACCATTGGTTCAGAATTTTGACTAGATAAAGACCTAGTCTTATGAGGATTCGAAGGGGAGGTTGTTGGGATTTTTGAATTGCAACAACTCCACCTTTGTCTCAGTCACTTGTGCGCCACTTTTTCATTATGAGTAAAGTAAAAATTCTGATTTGATACAGTAATTCTCTCTCTCTTGTGCGCCTAGTTGGTGAGTTCCTCCTTAAGGATTTTCAAAAGAACCTAGCCAATTCTTCTATACCATTCCCACTCTTGTGAAGTTTTCATGCTGGAGACTTCACTCTTCTAAACATATATACCTAGCTTCCTTCTTCACCTATTGAGCGCATAGCAAGCCTCTCTGTGGTGGTCAATTGGTGGCTTTCAAGAAAGCTTTCTTGCATCTTGAAGTGGGTGGTGTGGATCAACGGTAGAGGGTTTGAACCCTTCAAACCTAACACTGATCGTCTTGGAGTTTTGAACTCACAAACAAAGGTAACATCACATGCCATAAAACATTATTCTTGATTGCATGTGTAATTCTGCATATGAAAAAAAAAAAAAAATTCTTCTCACATGCTACGATCTTCAAGGCCATTTTACTTTCACTTCAAGCGAGCAACACGAGTCATGAACATGGGAGAGAGGCACTGACTTATCCATGACTAAATTGGAAAACTTGAAAGTGGCTGTGGCCATGTTCTTCAGAGGGCCCGTTTTTGCATGGTGGTTGTGCTAAAAAATGGAGGGTGTGTAATGGGCAAGTACTGGCATTGAGTCTCCGTCCCCATGATTTGAAGAATGATGCTGCGCAAGTTAGATCAGCACGCATGTGATTACAACTTAGTCCTATTGCAACACCTCCTCCTTCGAACCAGTTTATCTGTCAGTACAGCTCTTGCGGTCCCTGGCGCATTAGCTAGGTCCGCCACTGTTCCTACCTTTATTATATTTTTATTACTATTATATTAAATTTAAATCAACGCTCTCAAATATAATAATTTTATTAAAAAATGTAAAAAAAGCCTTCCATTATCTAATTGGTTTATAGCATGACATGGATGGACAGCCAATTGACCGATAACGATAAAGAGAAGGTAATCGCATATTTTATTAACATACAGTCATTATTATAGATAACCGATTCAGCGCTCACCGCTCAAGAGAAATATTCCAGATACCCATTATGAATCGCCCGCCAAAGTCTTCCTACTTCTTAGATTTTTGCTTCTCTCTCCCTTATTTTTGTCAAAAAATTACACTTCTTATTTCTCTCTCTTTCAACAGTTGATTCAAATCTAATGTAATGATAATAAAAAGATAATAAAGATAGAAAAATTATATAGGTAGACACTATAACCATCTCCTTAAAAAATAATTTTTTTTCAACCCGGCAGATCAAAACAAACAAACCCAACTTGATTGGATTGGATTGGTTTGGTTTAATTTTTTATTATGTTTTTAAAATCAAACCAGTCCAATCAATGTTGATTAATTTTTTATTATTTCCAACGACTGACAATATTGATCATTATTTAATCTATTGATCAATAGTAGAGTACAACAATGATACAAAGTGTATGGCTTGCGAATAACAAAGTTTTATTATTATACTCCAAAGGACTATTATTGCATTATTCTCTAAAGGGATGATGAGCAAGAGTGGATCACTATTCCGAGTCCCATATAATCATAATTGCAAACAAGAAAACTTACATGAAACCATACAAGTTGCTAACGGCCAATACTGGCACCAGACTACGCCCATAAAATTCGTAAGACCCTCTTGAAACTTTGATTGCTCCAATTATATATAAATAACAAAGAATGAAATATGATCGTAATGTACAAAGTCTTCAAATCCTGTCTGGCGTTGGCATTATTGCTGTCCAAAGTTTTTGGGAGTGCTCAAACTAGATTGATAGTGAAAGAAACATACGGGTGGGTATCAGCATCACCTGCTAAGCCAGCCATCCCACCACCTACTTCATCCTCGGTCTTCCAGTATGCACTGCACGCAAATATTGAAGTGTCATGTCAAGTGAACTTCACATGATCTTTTAATGAAATCATATGACAAATTTAAAATCGCATTACTTGATATTTTAATCTAAACCATTTATACCAACGTTGATCAAAATCCACTCCTCTTATTTCTCACATAAGATTGACTTTCTCACCAGAATCACACCTCCCCGGCCCCTCAGACAACACACAAACACATGCACGAAATGAAGAAAAACTGTCATTCTTGTTCTCTTCGTGAATTTATAGGGAATCTGATAAGGTTTTCTAGCATGTCAATCAATTATTTAACTGTAATTTAGAGATTTGATAGAGAATATAGGAGTTTCAAAGTTTCAAGTAACTATCTGCTTACTATAACTTCTTACGTTTCAGAGTAAGTTCTGCATATTGGAGACAGCAAAGAGACCAGCACCATGTTTTTCCATTTTGAATTAGTATAGAAGTATATATTACGCAAAGCACAAACAATTTTTTATTTTATTTTATCTACTTCCATTCCTGAAGGGCCGGCCTGGCTCAGCGGTAAGCTTACTTACCGTGGTGTTCCAGGTCAGGGGTTCGACTCGGCACCCTGCAAAGCAGGGGTGAGGCTTGACTCAAATTTCCCTTCCCCAGACACTCACGGAGTGGGTCTTGAACTGGGTCGGCCTTTTTTTTTATCTACTTCCATTCCTCTTCCATCTAGCTTAAAAGTGTGTCAACATGTCAAATGAGTTTAAATTAGTCAAGGATCGTGATGATCCCTCAATAAAAACACCACATATGTAGTCTATTTTCCTTAATGTCAAAATGTGAAACCTGTTTGGAGTTTGAGTCTTTTAAGGAATTATATCTAGAGGTTGCATGAAATTCTCAGATGAAGTGGGTAAAATTACTAAGGCCATCTATTTTAAACCAGACAGCACAGAAATTAATAAGCTCTTGCCTGTTTGTGCTATCACTCAACCCTTCTAGAATAGAACGTACTTTCTTCTCGGCTTTTACAGATGGAGCTAAAACGCATGCCTGGAATGAACACAAGATCCAATGCTCAGTGATAAATATTTGAAAAGAGGGGAGGGGGGTGAGACTGAACTTCAGTTTTGGAAGAGTGTAATACCAAGAAAGATGGTGGCAGACCATATCTCAGAATGCTCTCAGCAAATAAACGGACAGCACAAAAGTGCATCCAGGAGCTGAAAACCTTCAGAAAAATATAAAGTAAAAGTGGTGAGCTAAAAGAACCACAGGATTTTAGGATAACAAGGCAATAATAAGTGATATAAGGCCAGAAAAGTAGATATTTCAGATCAATAAACACTACTAAAGTTGAACAGAGAAACTAAGGACCGTTCTATAATGCCATGCTCAGATTGAGAGGCTAGTCCAGAAACAGACACATCAATTTAACTTACATACTTGTTCCTATAATCTCCTTGCTTTCTACCACTACCTGAAATTCTGCCTTGTAATAATCTAGGCCTATAGAGTGTTTCTACAAATTAAATGAAGTAATAAATAAATGAATAATACCTCTCCATAACTGGTATAGCACCATTGCAACAAAGAACTCCTCAAACTTTCCTGATCTTGCATCAATTTATCTAACTCCTGCTTTCGACTCTCGTGTGTTTCTGGACTGTATTCAAAGTCACGAATCTGAATACAATGACATAAAATTCCATTAAACACCTCTCATCAACTCATGAATTGATGCTAGAACACTTTGCATTAGGTTTATCATCTCATTCATTCTTCCATGCACAACTAAAAATTTCCAGGATTAAAATCCTAGAAAGAATGTGGATATTACCAATATTAACAGATTGAAGACAATATATGCAAATTAAGAAAAATACTTACTTGGAATCCTTTTTCCCGTGCACTAGTTCTAAAATTGTCTGCAACACGACTGAAGAGTGTAACAGTATAAAGAGCATATTCATTATCCTCATACAACTTCTTAGAAGACCTGGGGACCTAAAATATTTATCCTAATCAGAATATGGAATAACACAAGGAAAAATAAAAACCTGCTCAGAAATATTCAAGGGTGTGAAAACATTAATGGAATTTTTAGATTAATTACAGGGATTTTTCAATTATGATCCATTTATAATAATACCAAGGAAGTACAGAAATTCAAATTTGTGAGTGAATATGGTATCAGTTACCACATAGCTTGTCAATGTTTCATAGCTTGAGAGCCAATCCTTCTGTGAATACTTGGAAACAATTGCAAGGAGGGTAGTTAAGTTTTCTGAAGTTATAATGTCCTCAGGTTTAACCAAGTTGGAAAGATCACGGACTGCTAAACTGACATAGTCAAGCAGGTCAGCTAAGAAATAGAATACAATATATTTGAATACTTTATCAGTTGTGAAACAACATCCACACCTTCCAGTTTGCTTTCGGTTGATAGCATTAAGCTGACTGCGGGTATTGTTGTACTCAGAAACACGAACCTGGCATGAAAGACAGTTTCAAGGGCAAACCAGAAAATTCAATCTACACCATGCAAAATAAGTAGAGATGTTTTTCTTTACTATATTCCTCATAATAGAACAAAATTATTATTGGGGGAGAGGGAAAACAATTTTAGCTATAAATTCAATCTACATCATCCAAAATGCATCCTGATCAAGTATTGAAAAAACTCAGGAGCCTGTAGATATGGATCATAAGGTGAAAAGCCAAAACTGGCTTGTTTGTAGGCTATATGTTCAGTTGCAACAAGCTTAGAGTGACATGAAATAACCAGGTTGTATGTGGTGAGCATTCCTTATCCCTTTCCCAGTTGCTGAGTGCCAAAGCGTGTATGGAACCCATCACCAGAACTCATGTAGCCCAATAATGCTATATTTTGATTAGAATCAGCTAAGAAACAATGATATACTGATCCATAAACTGGCACCGCAAACCACAAAAGAAAATGTTTCAGGGTCAGAATGGATTCCATCTTCAACATTACACTGGCACAAAGAATGACCCGGACTTTCACATATAGCAATCAACTGCCTCAATTATAGTTGCACTCATACTACTAATTGACAACAGTTATGAGCCATGCAGATGACTAAAAATGTGAAATTTGACCATGATCAATTTAATATGCTAGATTTTAACTTTTATTTCATTTAGTAAGGGAATATTTTTTATTCTTAATTCTTATAATCTCTGTTCTTTTATTAAAATTTTGTAATTGCTTTTCTAATAAAATGACAACCTCTACATCCTGATAAACAAAGATTAAATTACCCGAAAGAAAAATGTGAAAAACAATGTATTAACTCTATACTTTGATTTTTATTTTTTAATTTCAATTTGACCCATCTCTTTGTAATAGTTTTAATTTACATAACCATTCCAAGATAGTCTACCTATTAACTATTAAGTTGCAATTTCCCGGGGGTGATGATATTGCTTAAAGATAGCAGCATGCAACATCATTATCACATCAGCAGCGTCTCTCATTAAGGTGGATCACTATAAATTGTTATGTGTCTTAAGGAACTAAAATGAACTCTTTTAAAAGTGAGAAACCAAGCTGAAACCAATACCACGAGGACCAGAACATTACCAAAGTAAAATCCATAGGATAAAGCGGCCCAGGGTCATTGGGGACCACAAAAACAAACAGGCCCCCTTATCTTCTTCTGCATTAATTTCTCAGCGAGCCTTTTATATGATCTTGGACAAACTGAGGTCCTCTGATTAGAAGTCACACAAAATAGAAAAGGGTCTATAACTCTAATGGAGATCATCAAGGACCATGTCACTAGCACAAGAACAAGATCTATCCATTTGTAACTTTGCAAGGTAAAGCAGAGAGAGAAAGGTGAATCTTCTGTAGTTTATATGATTATGAATTGCCAACGCAAGTGTGGGATTGGCAGGTCTGATCTTATTCCTTTTTCTCAGCCTTAGGAGACAAGCATACAACTAGAAACCCATCCCTATCTTGAGTTACACTAGTACCAAACTGACCTCAGTAGACAATTTGATAGTGGCATCGTAGAAAAGGTTACCCCACAAGCTATGACTTTTAATCGAAGTCATGTGGGCCCTAAAGCAGGTGGATCAAAGTTGAAATTTTTTAACATTTATCTCAACAGAACTTGAAGAGTCAATTGATTCAATAGCATGTTCCCCTTGGATTTGGCTCTTCTCTAAAGTGACAAGTTCACTTTAGAAGGAAAGGTGGGGGATCTCAACTAGTGATGAGAAAATAAGGGGAGTAGATTCTTACAAATGCATTGTTTGTTATGAATACACATATTTTATCATAATATTTCTCATCAATGGTTCAGATAGGTCACTTTTTCCTCAAAAGAGAACCCATTCAGCTTAGAAGGACCAATTTTGTTCCCCTTCAACACCAACTCAGAAGTTAAGCATGTAGCATCCCTCTTTCCCTCCTCCCAAACTCATAAATCAATAAAAAGAACATGGCTCCACAAACTGAGTTATCAACTCTACATGACTTAATTACAAGCTCGCAGAAGACACACTATTGACTAACATATACGAGGTTAGAAATCATGACACTTAACTAACCAAAAACCTTCGTAAAAACGAAAAGGCATAGAATCCCCAAATAGCAGTTAGTCATATGGTAAGCAAGAAAGTCATCATAACTTGCTAGCTGCTATCTCACTATAAGGAGGCCGTGAATGTTAAAACTTATTATGTGTTGCAATAGTCCATCTTCTAAATCTAACAGATAGCTGCAACAACAAGAGTGGCAAGAAAATGAAAACCTTGAGATCATCCTCAATCTTTGCCACTTGACCATGAATACCATCCACGATCTCCTTCAAAGGAGACATAGTCGGGTACTTGGCTTCGTCCCAAACAAACCTGGATCCATCATAAAGACTAAATTTCAGCCCAAAAAAAAAAAAAACACAACTCAAGCAAGAATACACAGAGATCACAGATTCCAAGTACTGAATAATAAAAAAAATAAAAAAACCTGGTCAAATAGGAATCAACAGGCACTCCGTCCACCGTGAGCCCGCCGCTCTCTACGCCGGAAACTCTCTCCAGTTCCTCAATCTGCCGCCTGATCTTGAGCGACACTCCTTCCATGAAACTGTTCGACTGCACACATATTTCAGCTTCGCATTTCAATAACACATATCCGCAAATAAATCAAGACGCGAGATTCGCATTAGAGAGAATCGTGATTTCACGGATCATCCTAAAATCAGAATCGAGAAACGAAAAGTGGATTGAGAATTCACCTTGGCGAGGTCATCGCTGAGAGAGAGGAGAGAATCTAGGGTTCCGACACGGAGATTAGGGATGTTGAACTGCCAGTTGAGAAGAAAATCAGAAGAAGAAGAAGAAGAAGAAGAAATGAAGAGAGAGAGAGAGAGAGAGAGTTACTGACTCTGTAAAGAGGAGTGTCGAAGGAATGCTTGGAGATTTGATCCTGCAATTGGTTCCAAAGAGCAGAAGCAGAGTTCTGAACGGGAAGAGACACAACGCAGTACCTAGTCGCCATTGTGTTCTTCTTACTTTTTGTTACTCCTTCTCACTTCTCAGTTCTGATCACACACCAAAATACATTGGAAGCTAAGCAAATGCTCAATGCCAATGTTGCCACACCAAATCATCAATTATCAAAAATCGTTTTTTATTTTTTTACCAATCAATTTCTTTCTTCTTTAAAGCGTGAGTACATTATAAGGGGGCGTTTGGTTGAGGAAATTTTTTATGAATGATTGGGAAATGATATTCATAGGAAAATGGTAGGAAATGATAGGAAAGTGAGTTTGGTAGGAAAATATAAAAAAAAGTTGTTTGGTAGGAAAAAATTTAACTGGGAAAATTAGGTAACTTTTATAAAGTCTATGCTTGGTTGTAGGTAAAATATAGATGGGAAAAAAAAAAAACAACCAACAAAATCCCAAATAGCCATGCAAATGGGAGGAATACCACATCTAAAGTGGGAATATTTGTCCATCAATTTTGATCCAAATAGCCATGCAAATGGGATACCTAGCAAACTCATTTAGGTAGGCAAATTTGAAAGCTTGTCAACCAAACATGTGCACCCAATTTCCCCACTTCACATTTTCCTATCATTCTCCTCAAAAACCTTCAACCAAACACCCCCTAAGGCTTTTCTATGTGGATATTTCTTTTTTAAATCTCAAAATACTTATTTTTGGAAAAAAAATTCCCTTCCAAAATATTCTTTTGTTATCTGTATCTATCTATTTATGTCTATATGTCTATATTTGCTAACGTGTCATTTTCTCCTTCAATATCTATTTTATGTTCATACTTAAAATCATTTAAAATGTTTCATCTTTTAGTAACTTTTTAAAAATTCAAAATTTAAACTTCATATAGGCGGAAAAAAAAGTTCACCATTAATTGATGGCAAACATCTGTATTAATATTCCACTAATTTTTCAAAATTTGAATTTTAAATATGATATAGGTGGAAAAAGAGTTTAGCATTGTTCAGTGACAAACAAATGTATTAATATCTTATTACTTTTTGCATGGGTAATGGTTAAGCCTATTAATAATACCATTAATTTCTGCATCGAAAATTGTTAAGCTTATTAATAATATTTATTATTGTGTCTATTAGGATTAGGGGTGCTAAACGAGCCAGGGGCCTTTGGCTCGGCTCGTGAAGGCCTGAGCTTTTATGTCTAAAATTGATTGTTGGAACCAGGCTTGGACTTGTATAAAAGCTCGTTTAATAAAAAGGCATTGGGCTCCAATTTAAAAGCTTGGCCTTAGAGCCTCTCAGGCTGGCCTAATATATTAATTTTATATTTTTATTTTATATTTTTTATACTACTTGTGATAACCGTCTCTCTCTCTCCTCAATCCATTTCATCCCATTTTATTAATTAAACAGACTTTTTGAATGATTTTGTTTTGTATTATGTTGTTTGGATATACATTAAATTTATGAATATTTATGGAATTACTAGTGTTGTTGACTGTATATTTTGTTTGGATAAATTTTTGTTGTATTATTTTGTTTTAAACAGGCTAACAGGCTAAACCAGACTTTTATTTTTTGTAAATAAGACAGGCCACAGGCTGAAATTATATTCATAACAGGTAACAGGCTTGGTCAGGCTGACACATATAAACACAGGTTTAGCCTTTTAAGACCAAAGCTCGGCTCGGCTCGGCTAGGTCCGTTAACACCCCTAATTAGGATTAATTAATTTTTTAGGTCTACAAATGAACCAAAGATTATTTTAATACAAAAAATAAGTTTTGTTATGTTTGAATGACAGAGATGTCCAATCAGAGATTGGTATTTTAATATTGGATTTGTTTGCCCTCTCTTAGGTACCTATAGGAGAGGTATCTTAGAGATCAGCGAAACACTGTGCACTATAATATAACGACATAATCAAGGCATGGGGTGTGTGCACAGTGACATTTAAAAGAATTAGGGTTTAAAGTCTATGTACCTTGTTGGTTTAATCCTTTTTTTATATATGGATTACCTACTTTTGGGCCTCTTAGAAATATTGGGGGTCCAGTTGTTGATCCATTGTTGTCGTAGTAGGATTAGTATAATTAAAAAATATTTTCTTAATTCTATCTTAGCTGTTAACCTTTTTGGGCCTCTTAGAAATATTGAGGGTCCAGTTGTTGATCCATTACTGTCGTAATAGGATTAGTATAATTAAAAAATATTTCCTTAATTCTTTCTTAGTTGTTAGCCCTTTTGGGCCTTGTAGAATGTGGGCCTTTGTCAGTTCCACAACAAGTTCAAAAGACCTCATTAGTTTGTGTATAAATAGGATATGACGATATGTGTTACTGCATATTTTCCATTTGTAATCCACCTTCTGTGCACATTTTTCTTCTGTTTTTTTCTGTTTATCTTATTCATCTTCTCAAGTTGTTCTTCTACATAGTCTTACCCATTATTTGTGTGTTTATAGTTTTCTAATTTAATAGCAATGACGCATTTGGCAAGGCCAAGCCTATTAAGTTGTGTTCTCACTTCATTTGTTTGTGGTGATGAAGTGCTATTTTGCAACACCAAGGAGTTACTGCAAAAATCAAGAGATGGCTCCACTATTTCAATCCCACAAGGATATGAGATTGTTTGCTACAAGTCACTTATTTGTATCATTTGTGTAATTGATTGCAGTATTTAATTTTGAAAAATTATACTCTCATATTGCATAAGATTCATCTCTCACGTAATACTCATATAAAAATATATGCCTTTTTTTTCTTTTTCTTTTTGAAAAAAAATTGGTGGCCCCACTTTGTTTTTAACACTCACATAAAAAGATACTACATCTTTTCTCATTTTATGCTTATGTTTCAGGGGTATCAGTGAGAAAATGTGAAAAATACATAATGGTGGAAAAGGAAAAGATCGAAACTTTCTAACAGTGAAAGTAAACAATCTCCCACGAAACCAACATCATCAATGAATTTAGGGTCAAAAAGAAGAAGAACAGTTTGTGAGTAAATTAGGTGGAAGATGAAGATATGGGTTACCCTATTTTGGTTTTTCGATTTTGCAGCTTCTTTTTTTCTTTTATTATATATTCACCATGCAATTGTGACTTCGTATTTGATGCCTTTCCACCTGAGAAGACAACATATGTCACGGAATTAGCCTCCAAGTTAGCCTCTGACAATTCCAGCATCGAAGAAAGTCCCCCAAATGTTCCATATTTCTACTAAAAAATTGAATTCATCCAAAGTGCTTCAGACAAACATTGCCTCAGAAACCCCTCGACCAAGAAACCAAGTTGGTTAAGGTATTTAATGTTTCAATTATCCCCAATTGACATATGAACAATTAAGGAAACTAAATAAGAAACATTAGTATAAGTTAATGCACAAATTCAAGGTTACAACAACTTTTTGTTACAATAGATATAAGGTATCCAAGGAGAGCTTCTCTTCTAAAATTCCTTGAGAAAAGAAAAGAAAGGTAAGGGCTAATTAAAGAGCAATTTTTTATATACTCTTTTTGTTTAATTAGTTGTTAACTTTTTGGTTGGTTAATGCTAATTAATTGAATCTTCAATTGTTGTTGCAGGGTCATTGCTAGAGGACCTTACCAAATTAACAACAACAACCCCAAGCGTGAGGGAAGCAGTTCAGGAGGTGAATCTGAAGATTAGTGTTCCGAACACTTTGACCTTAATTAACTTGTAGCGGTTTAGTTCATCATGAATTTAGGGTATACAGGCTCTTTGCAAGCCAAAAGCTCCTCCTAACTATATCATTGTACGCCTTTTGCAGTGATATGCCTCTAGCATATATAGTTTTCTAAGTTAAAAAGAGCAAGGATTTAATCTACTTTGAAGGAAAAGGCTTATATTTGTTATAAAGTTGATAAACCATGCTCAGATCTCCTCTCACTGAATTTATGGTGTTTTGTAGGTAAAAGTACTAGAAAAGAACTCATTTATAAGCACAAGAGAAAGCAAATGATAGTGTTTCCGTGCTACAAGCGCGAGAAGGGTGCTAATAGCGCGAGAAAGTTTTTCAACACAGAAATGTCGCGCTACAAGCGCGAAATCCGCGCTAGTAGCGCTAGAAAATCCTCAAAACACAGTGTTGCCACGCTACAAGCACGAGTTCCGCACTAGTAGTGCGAGGTCCATATACCCTTGCTATATTCTCCGCGCTGTTAGCGCGAGAATGACGCTAATAGCACGAGAAGCACGTGACCCTTTTTAAAGGACTTCAAATTACATTTTAAGGAGGATTTCACACCAAGGATTTGATGAAGATTTGGGTAGATTTGAAATTAAGCTATAAAAAGGGAATATAAACCTTTATTTGCTATCTTTGGCTGGAGAGTCTTTGAGAGATCAAGAAATTGATAGCGTTCTTGGAGATTAATGCTGGAGATCAAAATTTCAGAGATTGAAGATTAAAGACTTTCTTTCTCTTCTTTTTTCTTCTTCTTCTTCATGAATTCTAGTTTCATTTACTTCTTTATTTTGTTTAAACTAGATATGTCTTGCTAGTTTGCTTTTGTTATGGATTCGACATGAATCCTAATTGTGGTTTAATTTAGTTTCTTCAATAAATTATTTTAGTTATTGGTATTTTACCTTGAGTGAAATTCTATATTCTTATATGAATTGATCACTCTTATATAGATTTGAGGGTTAGGGCTCACAATAGACATATTGGAGTTTTAATCCTGACAGGGGTAAAATATCAATTCTTGTATGATCTAGACATAGGCTTGCTTGAGTTGTAGACTTCATAATTCATTGTGTCTAATGCTTATTCTAAGAGGAATCACTAAGACATTAGGATTCTAATTAGAGTAAAGGGTTAAAGTCACTAAGACATTAGGATTTAACCAACTATTTTTAGAAGATGGATTATCTGAAATATCTGAGATAAATTAATATTGAAATTAAGTTAAACTACTCTAGGAGGATTTGAGGTGAAATAATTCTTAGGTACAGTTTAGTTATTAAAATCTTAATTCATCTTTACCCATCTTTATTCTTAATATGAATTTATTATTACTTATAATTATTTTTATTTTATTTTTCAAAATTACTCTTTATACATAAATTGATTTTTCCAAATTAAAGAGAATAATGAAAATAGTATTTGGTGCATTAATTTTTGTGGGACGATACTCTACTCACACTTTATTACTTGAAAAGATCGATATACTTTCCGAAATCGCAACAAGTTTTTGGCGCCGTTGTTGGGATTAAATTAAGCCAATATTATTTATAGCTTTCAATCTTTGAGATTGAACGTTATTTTTCTTTTTACTAGTTTCCTTTTTTTATGCGAGGTACAGTAAATCTTGCTTCTCTGCTATTTGATCCCGAGATGAAAAAACTGCAAAGAAGAACAAGAAGCTTACTAAACAAAAGAAACAATAAGAATCTTCCAGTTCACAGCCAAGAGCAGAACCAGTCGAGAAGGCTAGCAATAATCCACAACCTCCTCCAGAAGCTCTAATGGACGCATTTCTCATGCCGAGCTTCACGAGACCAAACTCAAGTATAACAAAGCCAACAATTGAGGCTAACAACTTCCAGATCAAGTCAGCTTTGGTATCTTTAGTCCAACAATCCCAATTCTTAGAAGATGATTTGGAGAATCCACATGCTCATCTGGAGAGGTTCTTGATGATTTGTGACACAGTCAAATGGAATGAGGTGTCCGATGATGCACTGCGATTGCAGTTGTTCCTTTTTTCTCTCAAAGGGGAAGCATTCAACTGGTTAGAACAACAGCCGGCAAACAGCATCAGTACCTGGGAAGACTTGGCTATCAAGTTTTTAGCTTAGTTCTTCTCAATGACAAAATACAATCAATTGGTGAATGAGATCACCAATTTTATGCAACCTGAAGGAGAAACTCTTTGTGCTTCATGGAAGAGATTTAACGAACTACTGAGAAGATATCCTCAGTATGAGTTACAACATGGGGAAAAAGTCCATATATTCTTTAATGGGATTACACATTTCTCAAGGATGGTTATCAATGCTGCAGCTGGAGGTTTTATAAGACAAAAAACACCAACTCAAGAATTGGCGCTGTTCGAATCCATGGCAGCACTTGAAAATGAGAGCATTGCAACACAACCTAGGAGAGGATTTCTTCAACTGGAAGGTAATGATGCTGTGTTAGCAGAGCATAAACTCATCTCTCAGCAAATTGCTATCCTGAATAGCAAGCTTGACAAGCTTCAAGTTTCTGCAATTCAAGCTCAACCAGAAGCTTGTGAGTATTGCAAAGGGAGCATGAAACTAATGAGTGTAATGCACTCATAGGAGCAGATCCAGTTCAAGTCAATGGAATCCGGTATGATCAAAGAGCTCAGAACAATCCTCCAAGGAATCAGAACAATGCTCTGGGAAATACATTCCATCCTAAGTGGAAGAATCATGGAGGTCTTGATTACAAGTCATCATAATATTTGCAACCTCCACCAATTCCACAGAATCAACCATCTGAGTTGGAAAAGCCTTGCTGCAGTTGACCAAAGCCATAAATGATCATATTTAGAACACTGATGCAATCATCAATGAGACAAGATCGCATCACAAGAGTCAAGATGCTTCACTCAGAAATTTAGAGAGTTAAATTAGGCAACTTCCAACTAGCTGAGAGGACTCAAGGTCAATTTCCTAGTGATATTGTGGTAAATCCACGAGAACGTTACAAAGTAATCACTACTAGGAGCGAAAAAGTAATCTCCCCTCAATAGAAGCCAAAGGTGGTCTACAAAAAGGTTGATGATGAGCTCAATAAAGCAGAGGAGAAAGAAAAAGAAGTGAAAACTCCTACAAATAAGGATAAGCCATTTCAAAAAGGCAATGAAGAAGCAAAGGAGCAATCTTCTGAAGCTCCAAAGAAGCAATGAGATTTCCCATGCTTTGAGAAACCTCCATATCCCATGAAGCTCAAGCAACAAGCTTAGAAGCAACAGTATGCCAAGTTTTTAGATATATTTAAAAGTTGCAAATTAATATTCTTTTTGCTGAAGCTTTAGCTAACATGCCTAACTATGCTAAATTCATGAAAGATTTGTAGTCTAGAAAGCGTAAGTTGCAGGAATTTGAGACGATGGCTATCACAGAGGAGTGTAGTGCCATTATTCAGAAGAAGTTTTCACCAAAGCTTCGAGATCCAAGAAGTTTTAACATCCTGATTGCGATAGGAAACATTAATGTTGACTGGGCCTTGTGTGATCTTGGAGCAAACATCAACCTCATGCCATTGTCCGTGATGGTCTCTGGGAATTTCAAAATTAAAACCCACTGTGGTCTCTCTACAGCTTGTTGATAGATCTTTAAGAAGACCAAATGAGTCATTGAAGATGTTGTTGTCAAAGTTGACAAGTTCATATTCCCTGCTGAGTTCATAGTCCTTGATATGGAAGAAGAAGGTGACATGCCTCTTCTTTTGGGAAGACCTTTCCTAGCCACAACCAGAGCCATGATAGATGTTGAGCAAGGAAAGTTAGAGTTGAGGATGGATGACGAAAAGGTCACCATCAATGTATTTGATGCAATGAAGCATACCAAAGACAAAAGCGATTACTTCCGGGTGGATATTTTTGATGAGTTTCTTATTCAGAAGATATCTGATGATCAGACTCTGGAAGAGGATATGAAAGTTTTAGATGAAAACTCTCCAAAAGAAAATTCTGAAGTTCCATTGGAGGTGTTAGAGAAAAAGGAGTCAGACATCATTGTAAGAGCATCAAAAGTAGAGCTAAAAGAACTACCTGCCACTCTCAAGTATGCATTCTTGGGGGATGGAGAAACTTACCCTGTCATCATCATCAAAGAGTTGTCTAACTCTGAAAAAACAAAGTTAATGAAGGTACTCAAGGATCATAAGAAAGCCAAAGGGTGGTCTATCTCTGACTTGAAGGGTATTAATCCCTCTTTTTGTACTCACAATATCCTCATGGAAGATAACATCAAACCTGTGAGACAACCTCAGAGAAGGTTCAACCCCACTATGAAAGAAGTAGTCCGAAAAGAAGTGGTGAAACTTCTTGATGCCGATATGATTTACCCAATCTCTGATACTGTTTGAGTAAGTCCAATTCAGACAGTGCCCAAGAAAGGTGGAGTGCCAGTAATAAAGAATGAAATCAATTAGCTAATTCACACCAGGACTATAACTGGATGGAGGATGTGTGTGGACTATAAAAGAATGAATGATGTCACACGAAAGGATCACTCTCCTCTTCCTTTCATTGATCATATGTTAGAGAGATTGTTCGGGTATACTTAATACTACTTCTTGGATGGATACTCTGGCTATAATCAGATACCTGTGGCACCAGAGGATTAGGAATAAACAACTTTCACGTGCCCATTTGGAGTCTTTGCTTACCGGAGAATTTTGTTCAGCCTCTATAATGCACCTGTTACTTTCAAAAGGTGCATGCTTTCTATCTTTTTTGATATGGTAGAAAAATGCTTAGAGGTATTTATGGATGATTTCTCTGTATTTGGTTCTTGCTTTGATTCGTGCTTAGTTAATTTATCTAAAGCTTTGAAACGTTATCAAGAAATAAATTTGGTTTTAAATAGGGAGAAATGCCATTTTATGATGAAAGATGGCATAGTGTTAGGCCATAAAATTTATGAAAAAGGGATTGAAGTTGATAAAGCAAAATTGATTTTAATTGAAAAACTTCTCCCTCCTGTTAACGTTAATGGTGTGCAAAGTTTTCTTAGACATGCAGTTTTTACAGGAGATTTATTAAGGATTTTCCAAGATTGCAAAGCCGTTATCTCAACTATTAGTAAAAGATGCAGAATTTATTTTTAATAATGAATGTCTAACATCTTTTAATGTGTTGAAAGAAAAGCTTACCATTACTGTTGTGCAAATTGCAATCAATTAAATCAATCACACAAATATGCAAGTGCACGTCTCACAAGTAATAAAGGGATGTGTGAGTCCAAGTATCGTTCCCACGGAGATGATTTATAAAGCAATAATTATTTAAGTAAAGAAATGATAAAAAGATTGATTTTTATGGTGGGGTTTATAAAATAAAAGACAATTAAAAATAAGAAAACAGTAAACTAAATTAATAGGTATTAAGATGATGGATGAGATATAGGTCAGATTCAATTTCCCTGATACAACAATACTGAAACGATGCTTTAACGATGCTATATCAATGCTTAATTAGTAACCGAACACTAAAGTATGTTGGGGCTTTTGGCCAACCTAACATATATACCCAATAACTAATTCCCACATCTCTATGGCCAAACTAATCACTGAATTATTCAAGTTCAAGTCTAGGCTATGTGGTGTGAATGATCTCTCTACCCACAACTTAATCAAGTTAAATTAACCTAATTAATCCACACAATTCAACAAGGGTCTGGATTCGGAAAACTCTCGGCCCCAACCTCCTCAATATCACATATGTATCTCTCGACATGCACACATGAATAAGATTAAGCAAACTCGTTGAATAACTAATTAAACATTAACATAAACAAAGTTTAGGCATACATATCAATGTTACAACATAGGTACTTTATCACCTAACATATGGAGCAATTTAGCTCATAATGGAATTAAATAAAACAGAGAAAAGAAAGAAAGAACTCATTGGAAAACAGAAAAGAAGAATAAAACGAATGCTGTAGGAAAACGTCGTCACTGCTTTGCTCCAGCACTGCTCCATCAGCTCTTCTTCCTCCAAGAACCTTACTTTCTCTATCTAAAACGTGGGAGGGGTACTACATTCTTCCCATCCCTTCTTTCTTACCTTTCTGACCTCTCCCTCGCTTGTTGAATCCGTGGGCGAACTCCTCTTTAAATAGGAAAAGTGGTTGGATAATTGGGCTTTAGGGTTAGGAGTGAAAATCCATGAATCTTGTTGCTGCAGCCTTATCGTATCCCTAAATTCTTGGGCTGTTGGCACTTGTTGGATAAAATTTTGATCATCTTGGAACCCTTGTGCCAATGTTGTTGTTGACCAAATAGGAGCTGAGTTTGTTGTCCTTGTTCCTTGGGATTTTTGGATTTGTTGGCACTTATTTGGATAAGATCTTTATCTTCTTGGATTTCTTGTGCCAATGTTGTTGACCGAACCAAGGTTGTTGTCCTTGTTCTTTGGGATTTTCAGATTAGATTCAGTCTTGAAATTTGTCTTTGACCCTTGTGATTTCTGGATTAAATCTTCATAAACTTTCTTTGCTTGCTGGTGTATGGTTCGAGAATAACTAACTTTTGAATTTCAAAAGTTCGGTTGTTCCTTTGTCCACGCTGTCATGCTGTAGCGCTTGCTATATCATTACTTCGTCAGCTTCTCTGCTACAGCATTCCTACGTCAATTTTTTCTGCAAAGACAAACATTCAACAAGTTATATTTTCTTACACAAAATCAAGGGATATTGTCTTATTTTCCATACTTAGTCATCTCAAAGCACTTAATCATAAATATACAATATTTAGCTCAATTATCATGCAAAGAGGTCAACTTATATGGATTTTATGCAACAAATTCATCATAAAAATACTAAATTAACTCTCATTTGGGAGAGTTATCACACTCCAAACTTGTAAAACGTTGCTCGTCCTCGACTAACAAAGAAGAAAATGATTAATTGGCCTGCATAAATTCAGTAGTATAATTGCAGCAATGACTATTATTGAGATGAGCAGTTCTGATGTAGCATTCCAACAACAATGTACACGTGAGAGTGTTGTGCCTTTTGTGAGGGGCTTTCTTTTCACTTGTGCTTTTGCACTTGCTTTAGCTCGGCTTCTTTCACCCTTATAGCCTTCAAGACTTACT